ATTTTATTCACAGTAGAATATATAAAACATCACTTTTTTCACTTGGTGAAACATCTGGACACAGGCCATTTCAGCACCTACAAACACCTAGAAATATGTAAGGCTTTCTCTAAAAACCAGTGTCTGGATGGGAACGTATGTTGCTTTAAAACCCGTCTATACCTTTTACTGCGCTACCATCAAAACTGTATCCTTTTGGACTGAGCGCTGATAAAAAAACTACATGATCCTTCTCCTCAAGTATATGACGTTCTTTTCCAAAAACAATTCCAGATTTTGATTTATCTGACCACAGAGCAATTTTCCACTTTGTCTCAGTCTATTTTAAATAAGACTTTGTCCCAAAAAGATGGATGTTGTGGTGAACTGTGTTCACAGACAATGATTTCTGGACTTATTCCAGTGATTACAACACAGAATTTTGTCTGTTTTTATTGCAGTACTGCCTGAGGGCCTGAAGATCAGAGGGATCCAAAACTGAATCTGGTATGCAAATTTATCCAGATTCTTGCAATCTTATGAAGATATTAAAAGTATTCACAATTTCACATCCAGGGAAATTATTCTGAAATTGACAATTTCAAAAATTGTTTGACGCTCCTTTCTGCAGATTTGTACACCTCTTCCCGTCTTTGCTGAGGCATTCTGCCTTTCTATGATGCTCTTTTCAAAGCTTACTTATCTGTTGCTAAATAACCTAATATATACCGGCGCCTCAAGACAGGCTGTGTAAAGATGCTCCTGAGACAGTCCAGCACATAAAAGCAGGGTGCAAGATGCTAGCAGGCGGGGCATACATGGAACCCCAAAACAATGTAGCTGTCATAGTATACAAAAATATCTGTGCCGAGTATGGCCTGGAAGTCCCGAGGTCGAAATGGGAGACGCCCCCGAGGGTGCATAAGCGAGTTTTATATATATATATATATATATATATGTAGATAGATATTGAGACACACAGCAACGTGAGCAACACGACAACAAGCAGAGCAAGGCGGAGGACATAATTACGCAGAGGATAAGGAAAGAATGGAAAACAGGAGGGGACACAGCTGGAAGTAATCAGACACAATGAGCGAGGGAGGAAGCGAAACTGAACTCACTGAACACAGGATGAGAGACTGTCAAAATAAAACAGGAAACACACTGAATTACAGAGTAAGAGACAAGGGCTTGACACTGGGACCAAGGGAGAAACAGGCATGGGTACAAGAGTGCAGACTGAAGAGACAGAAAGGGCAAGAGACATGACGGGCTGGGGAGAACACAGACGGGACAACCAGAGCACAAAAGGGAACAGACTCAATGAGCAAGAACCTAAAAACTAGAAATACAAATGGCTAAACTAGGAAGAGCGAGGAAATAGAACCACGAATAACACTAAATCAAAGAATATGAATTAAACCAAAAAACACATAAACACTGGGTCACAGACCCATGACCATGACAGATTCAGAAATACTGATAGTTAAGTGTTTTGTAAAGGTTTGTTCTGTAATTAAACTTTAGGTTTTTTAATCATGAACGAAACTGCTTGTAATAAGTTTACTGGGGCACTTACAAAGACGTATATGCTGCATCGACTGGGTAAGCTATAAAAGCAATCTTGAAGGACTGAAGGAACGTGGAGTACACACAGATGTGTGTAATAAAAAAGCAGGCGTTAGTAACTGCTGACTTCCACTGAATTGCGTGTGTTTCACTGTACTACTATTGTGTGTATTGGTTGTAGGTCAGAGTTTTATAACTTGGGACATTTCAAGAGAACAGAGTTCAATCTTATTATAATTACTAAAAAATATGCTTTCTCTCTACCTTGATAAGCATATTTCTGCTGTGAAAATGAAAGAGACCCTTCATTATAGAATTGTGTATCGTTTTTAGTTTTCTTATTGCTGTACACAGTCACTGGCCACCTTGTTATGTACACCTGTTCAGCTGCTCATTAATGCAAGCATCTAATCAGCTCATCAGATGGTAGCAACTTAGTCTATTTAGGCAGATATACATGATCAAGATGACCTACTAAAGTTAAGTTAGTTAATCAAGCGTAAGATTG